AAGGGCTAATTTTTTAAAAAATCGAAGAATTGACTGAAAGTATAGCTTTTTGAAATATTTCTTAAAAAAATGTTTTCCAGGATTTGCAGAGCCATAAATGAGGAGTTTTGTGAAATATTTGTTTCAAGGACTCGCAAAGCTGTCAACGTGATTTTTTAAGGCCATGGCATGCTATAAACTTTAATTTATGAAAAAAACTAAAACATATTTTTCAAGGACTTTATCGAAAATATATTTTCCTAGGACTAGTTGAGAGATAAATGTGGATTTAAAAAATATTGTTCGAGGATATTTAATTTTCATTTTTTGTGGATTATGTAAAATATTTATTTTTTTAATTTTTTTGGGTGATAAATTTGGATTATAATAATAAATAAATATTGCTCAAGGATTTATTTATTGTTATCATATTGATGCTTCTAAAATGCCTCATTGTAGGGTATCAAAATCCCTCCCACTATTGTCACTTCTCTACTTCATTGTAGTTTAAATTTGCAGTATCGTTTCTTGTTTGTTTTGTAGAATATTTTGTTGGACTTTCGTTGCCATTTTGCTAGTTCACCCAGCTAGTTGCCATCAGCTACCATGAAGAAGAAGGCGTAATTTTTCTGTGGTAACTTTTACTTCCGGCCTGCCGGCCATTGGTTCGCCCGTTTTTTGTTTGGCGGCATGTTGTTGCGGTCTGCAAGAAATTCATATACTTCCACTCCATGTGACAGTATGTGGTAAAAGTCCTATTAGTTTGTGTTTTCTTTAGTGAGCCACATAGTATGTGGCTTCTTGTGTAGTTTCGTTTTTTTCGTTCTTTCCTTGCATTTTGTTGGTCAGTCCGTGCAGGAGGCCAACCATGTTCATATGATGTTGTGTAATATGTCAGTGACAGGATTTGATTTTTTATATATTATTTGTATTCTTTGGTGTTTGGACTTTGTGGTAGGTGGATGTTAATAGTTGTGGTTTTCAAAGTTTTGAAATTCTTCTTCAAGTTTTATAACTTAATAAATAAGTGTTTAAAGTTGGATATTAGAAATTATTTTGTATTTGTTGCTGTGGCTAAGATTTGGGGGGAGAGAGCGTATTGTTTTTAAAGGGAATTTTTTAAAAGAATATCAAAATATCTTACTTTTTGTTATATTTATGCTTTGTAAATAGTGTACCATTTGAGAACAATTTTCAATCACAACAATTTAAAAAGAATCAGTCGGTTTTACAAACAGATTTATACCGTCAGCAAATGTCCCTTTATTTAAATATATTTTGGCATGCGTTATGATTAATAAAAAATGTTTACCCTTTTTGGCGGAGGTACGATAGAATTAGGCCGATATAAATATTGAGAAGTGACAGATTTGGACTTTATCGACTATTTCCTTCGTTTAATACGAAATATGTTTTTATACCCTACACAACATAGTGGTAAGGGCATTACTTCTTTGTGCATTTTTTGTAACATGGAGAAGGAAGCAAGATAGACCCATAGTTACTTTTGAGGACCTCCATAGAATTACTTTCTGAGTTTATTTATGAATGTCAGTCCATCTGTCCGTCCGTCCGTCTGTCCGTCTGTCCATGTATTCTTGTGAACAAAATGCAGGTCGCATTTATAATCCGATTGCGATGAAATTTTCCAAACAACATTTTTTTGGCCCAAGGACGAACCCTATTGAAATTGGAGATAATCGGTGAAAAATTGGCTCCCATATATATCTTCGTCCGATTTGCCTTTTATTGTGCACCAAACGTGTAATATCAGCCCGAATAGTATGGAATTTTGCACATAAAACCAAATTAGGCCTGAAAATAAGTGTGCCAAATTTTATCGAAATCGGTTCAGATATAGCTATAGCTCCAATATATATTGTTCATCCGATTTGTTATTTTAGTCCACCGCAGCCGTAATATGAACTTTGAACTTTGAAAGTCGGTTCAGATATAGTTATAGCTCCCATATATATTGTTCATCCGATTTGTTATATTTGTTACCCACAGTCGTAATATGCACTCCGTAACTACGATATTCAGGGAAATATATTAAATACAGCTCAGAAATGTCTTTGCCAAATTTTATCGAGATCGGTTCAGATTTGGATATAGCTCCCATATATATCTTTATCTGATTTCAAATTAATTTTGCACCAAATGGGCAATACAAATCCGAATACAAATGCTTCGACATATTTAGTCCTTTGAACTTCAAATTATAATTATAATCATGGCGTGTATGAATGAATTCTCCCATAATAACTTTTAATTGTTATACGGAGCTCTACTAAAACCATATTATCAAATTTCAGAACTTTATCTCTATTCGTTCACCCGATACCAAATATAGTACCATTCAGTACTTTTTCGAACAATTATAGCATATATTTCCGAAAACACCTCCATATGTCGGAGCTACGCATAAATAACGACCTTAATATCAACTTCAATATGTCCAGACTACACATGAACAGCGACTCTTATACTAAATTTCAGATTTCGAGCACTTTCTGTTCACCCAATACCAAATTGTACCAAATATAGTACTATATACCAAATTTCAGGTTTAAAGCTGTATCCGTTAGTACAATACCAAATGGTACCATTTCAGAAATTTAGTAACATTAAGAAATTTACAGTTCGAATTTCTAATAACCGTTCGGCGCACCTATTCTGCACTCCATCAATGGCTCTCATCCCAAATTTCATTCCGCTTATCACACGCATAGCCATAAAGACTGATCGTCTTTCAAAATTTCAACTTTCTAGCCCAGCCAATTAGTCAGTTATTTCAATACTCCTTGATAAATATATATAGATAAGTTCGAATTTTTCAAATTTCATACATACCTCAGTCCTACACTTAAAATTTCCAATACTACCTCTATACCACACAATCCCATAGAAATGTTATTTCCAAATTTTAGGATTCCAGTTCTATCCGTTCACCATTATTCCAATTTGTACAAATTTTAGTACAATTTAGTACACATAAGTGCATATTTCCATAACAACCTGCATCATACAATTTAATAGAATTAGTATTTCCCAATATCAGGATTCCAGCCATATCGGTTCACCCAAATCTTTATTGTTTCAAATTTAGTACAACTTGGAAAAATTAGGATTAGGTTCCCATACCATACACACACCACAATCCCAACACTCCCACTCCAATTAAAATTATCTGGATTACATCCCTATCGGATCGCCTAAGTACACATTGTTGCAAGTTTGGTACCATGTAATACAGATAAGTACGAATCTCCAATATGTTTTACATAAACCAATCCTACACTCCAAAAGTAATCCCAATTCCATGTTTCAGGATTCCAGCTCTATTGGTTCAACTGAATCCAAATTGTACCACACTTAGTACATTTAAGTTCATATTTCCAAATTCCAAGACCACCTACATATCCCAATCCTACACCAGCTCTATTTGTTCACCAAAATCAAACTTGTATCAAATTTAGTACAATTTAGTACACTTAAGTAAAATTTGTTTTAATAACAACCTGCATCATTAAGTCAAACTCATTCATTCGTTCACCCAAATCCAAATTGTACCAAATGTACTGATGTAGGTACACTCCAATAAAAATCCTATTCCAATTTTAAGGATACTAGCACTATTGGTTCGCCCAATTTTTAAATTGTACCAAATCTAGTACCATATAACCACTAACCACAAACTAAACCACTAACTAAAGTACAATTTTTTTATATCAACCTTCACCATACAGTCCTCGCTTAAAATTTTAAGATTCTAGATTTCAGGATTCTAGCTCCATCCGTTTCTCCGAACTCAAATTGTACAAAATTTAGTACGGTTTATTACTTTTCGTATACTTAAGTTCACACTTTCAAAACTACCTCCTTATATCGACGCTACTCCTCAAACTTCCAAATTTCAAGTTTTTAGCCCTAATCGTTCATATGATACGAAATAGTACCAAATACTGTAAGTTTTAGTACTTTTCGTACAATTATAGTACGAATTTCGAAAAACCCTTTGGTACATCTATCATATACTCTACCAGTGACCCTCATTTCTAGTTCTAGCTCAACTGTTTCCTCTAATAAAAAGGGTACCATATTTAGTAACTTTTAATACTGTTCGTACCGTTCTAGAATGAATTTCCAAAAACCTAAAATTATTTGGCACTTACGGACCAAGAGTCACCCTCGCATAAAATTTCAAGATTCTAGATTTCAGGATTTCAGCTCCATTCGTTTCTCCGAATTTAAAATGTACTAAATTTAGTACGGAATCGGGAATCTAGGTTTAAAAATAGAGTCGATACAAGGAGGTAGTATTCAAAGTGTGTACTCATGTATACGAAAAGTACTAAAGTATACATGAGTACACACTTTGAATACTACCTCCTTGTATCGACTCTATTATTAAACCTAGATTCCTTTTCCAAATTTCAAGTTTTTGGCCCTAACCGTTCATATGATATGAAATTGTACCAAATGCTGTAAATTGTAATACTTTTCGTTCGCTTACAGTGCGAATTTCCAAAAACCCTATTGGTAAATCTATCATATACTCTACCAGTGACCCCCATCTCAAAACCCATTGACTCTTACCCAAAATTTGAAGATTCTAAATTGCAGGATTAAAGCTTCAACCGTTTCTCCAAATTCAAATTGTACTAAATCTACTACAGTTTAGTACTTTTCGTATACATAAGTACACACTTTCAAAACTTCCTTGCATCGACTCTACTCCTCAATTCCTAACCTTTCATATGATACGAAATAGTACCAAATGCTATAAATTTTAGTACTTTTCGTACACTTATAGTGCGAGGTTCCAATACATCTATCATACACTCCACCAGTGACCTTTATTCCAAATTTAAAGAGTTCCAGCTCAACTGCTTCCTTAAATACACAAGGGTACCATATTTAGTACTTTTCGTTCGAATTTCCAAAAACTCAGCCGTATGACACCTTCGGACCAAGAGTGACCCTCAAAATTCCAGTCAATTACTTAACTCTTTTATTAATACAGTTTACAATTACTTTATTTATTTTCTACAACTTTTGGTTACATTTAAAAGATACATCGCTATAATGTACAGCTACACAGATCACGCTTTACATGCGGCTAATTTTTTCAAAGCCACACGATCAACTTTACCACATGTGGTCAATGGTACGGAATCCACAAAATGGATATGCTCGATCATTGCTAATTGTCTCTCGTTCAGATGGGGTTTCAAAGTCTCCAGGATTTTTGCAGAGATTTCCTTATGACTGGCCGTTACATTTGAATTAAGGACAACGAAAAAGGCAGCTGCCTCATTGGGATCATTTGGCGTCTTGCGATAACCAGCCATGCGGGCCACATAAACCTCGGGCAAATTAATGGTGATATATTCCAGGGTATTGGGGATTATCTAAAAGTTTGAAGAAGGTGTTACAATTTCCAAAATAAAATTATTATTTCCCACAACTCACCACTTCCCCATTGGATTTAATCAAATCCTTATATCTGGCCAAGACATGAAGCTTCCCCTGCTCATCGACCAATCCATAGTCACCATTTACGAAAAGTCCATATTCATTGTAATATACAGAGTTATCCAACGACTTGTAACCCTTCAGCGGATATGGTGGTCTCACCGCAATTTGGCCCGGTTGATTCACACCCAACGGCTGGTTCTGATCATCCAGGATTTGTATCTCATAACCCGGCAGTGGCTTACCACCATTGACATACAAATCATTACATATCACCGTACTCATCTCTGTCATGCCATAACAATGGAAATTCTTGGCATTAACTGCATGTTTCTTGGACATTTCCAAAATGACTTTAGTGGCCGGTTCACCGCCCAACTGGATGCTACGAAGACACTTCAAACTTTCCCTATCGCCATCATCCAATTCCAATAGAATATCATAGAATATAGAGGGCGCCACAAAGATATGGGTAATACCACTGCTGCGCAATAGCTTCAAACCATACTTCCCCGTAGGCACACCACATGAACTAACCCTTTTAATTCCGAAGAGCATGGATTGGAACATAACAGCCGCCTGGCTGATCCAACGCAGAGGACTGAAGGAGAATACCACAGAGTTTTCATTCAAGGGTGCATAGTTCTCATCATTGTCCCACCAAATCGTGATGCCATGTATCATCAGGGCATGGGTAATTTGTACGATCTTCGGTAGACCTGTTGATCCGGATGTCAAAGCCAAGAGGGCGATTTCTTCACGGGTATCTTTGATTTCAACACTTTTGAAATTATCAAAATCTACAGGGTGTTCGGGTTGTTTTAGGAGATCATTTTTGACATTGGGTTGTTGGACGCCATTGATTGCAACTAGGAGTGGCTGGGCTTTGCTTTGGGCAAGACTGGATTGGATTTTATTTAGGTACTTCTCCTCATAGAAAATTGCCGCAGGTTCCAGAAGGTCAAATAAACCCGATGTCGATTCTGTAGAGGATAATGAAAAAATGGATTTTAATTAAAATAAAACTAGAAAAATTATATAACATAAACCAGTAAGGAAAAGTCTCTTACTATACGAAATTCCTGAGAATTCTGTATACTTAGCAACTTCGTATAGCAAATATTCGTTAATATCAGAATCTGCCCGGAGAATTTCATACCAACTATGTTTATTAAACTTCGGAATACTACGAAAAAAAAATTAAAGCAACTCAGTAGATTATACAAGTGTAGCTAAAACTAAACTAAACATGTATCGGGGGTTTGAAAGTTAACATCGAAAAAAAAAACTTAAATAGGGGGGACAAATTAATTTCTTAAAAAAAAAATATAAAATAGAGCTAAAAACTAAAAATTTATCTCCTTTTCAAGTTAACATCGCAAATGTACCTAAAGTTCCTCCTTTTATATATATATATTTTTTTTTTTTGAAAGATTCCTTGGTATCCTTGCAATTTAGGATAAAATTAACCCACCCAACCAAATTGACTTCTTCTGTTGAATGTAAATTTCAACTATTTCAGAGCGCTCGCGTGGCGTGTATTGGTTCATGGTAAAAATCTGCTTGGACTGACACTTCAAACGCGGTATGTCATTAAGCGATGTGACATCTCTGTCAAAAGTTATGGCGTTGCCGGATGGGTCCGTCGAATATGGGCAACCCTGTACAGCATTTTTTAATTTAATAGCCATGACCATATGTGATATTTCGCAATTTCGCAACATTTAATATGGAGCTATATAGAAAGCTTTGAGTTACGTCAAAAATCGTTAGTTGAAAAAATGGATCATATCGGTCCTCTTTTTGCTATAGTCCCCATTTAAATATTTTTAACGTTTTAGTCATATTTTCCATTTAATTTCGCCATATTTTGATTTTATTAATTCCTGTCATATTAAAACCCTACGAAAAAAAAAATATATCACTATAGGTCCACCATTTGGTCTAAAACTAATATCCTTCGATTTTAAATTTGTTAGGATCTTTCTAAGAGAGATAATTTTTATTTTGACTAAAGTACGTGTTTTCTAAACCTAGAAAATAATAAGCTTTATTAATAACATCATACTCAATTTTTGTCGGGCTCAGATTTAATTAGATCCTAATTTTTGGTTAGGAGTTTCCTGAAGAAATTTTTCACAAATTCATTGATTTTCAAAAAAAAAATCTTAAGAAATCCAAGAGAATTGGTTAGTAAGGTTTAAAAAAAAAAAAAAAAAAACTTACAAAAATTACGATTTTTACTCTAAAGAACCATGAAAAAACAGGAAAGACTAAAACAATTCGTTATTAGTGGTAAGGATGTACTTGAAAATATCCCAGAACTTCCCAATTTTCTACCGGACAATTTTTAAGCTATTTTTTAAAAACTATACAACTTGCTGTCTGTTGGTCCTCTTGAAGAAAGAATTCCATTATTTTCGGTTCACGAAGAAGAAATAACCTATTTTTGTAATTTTTTTCCTGAAATCATCCTTAAAAGTATTTTTTTATCCATTATTAATGGTGAGGAGGTCCCTGGCTTACCATCAGGAAGTTATTGAAAAAAAGCAGAAATTTTAGGTTAGGAAGTTTTGCAAAAATCTTTATCAACTGACGATTTTTATCCACGACTTTCGGTGAGAAGATCTTTTCAATAAAAGTTATGTTGAAAGACATTGTAAAAAGTACTTTCTAAAAATCTTAAATATTATCTGATTTTTAAACAGGAAGGCCTTATCGAAAATATTGTTTAAAGACCTTGCCCAAAACATCACAGATAATTTACGATTTCAGGTAGAAAGTCCTTGAAATATGTTGAAATACTTAATATATGAAAGTCCACGATTTTTGGTCAGTTGGTCCTTGTTAACAATAGCTCTAAAATATCTAAGATTTTCGGCCAAGGCGTCATTGTAAAAAAAATCCTTCAGGAAGACCTCATAAAAGTTGTAAAAATATAATCCAGGAAGACCTTGTAAGAAATATTCTTAAAAAAATCCACGAATTCTTAAAAAAAATCAAAAATCAACGATTTCTTGTTTCAGGAAGATATCGCAAAAATTCACGATTTTTATGGAACATCTTTTAAAAATTAGCCTTAAAACTTGGCATTTTTCTGAAAACCTTGTTCAAATATTTTGTATAGTACAGGTGCCCTCAAAAATGATATAAAAAATTTCAAGATTTTCAACCCAGAAGTTTTTGAATAATATTTTCAAAGGACTTACTATGCTTGGCCAGAAAATCTTTGCTTTTTTTGTAAAAAAAACACTCTTGTAATTCTAAGAATCATTTCTCAGACTTCAAGTCTTAAAATCGTGGATATTTCTAAAAATGTTCAGTCAAAATTGGAAAAAGTTTATAGATTTTTTTAGTTTTAAATATAACATTTTCTTCCACTTAATTAGACCCTTTTTATGATGCCGAAACGATTTCGTTAAAAAATGTGTCGAAATTCATAAAATTTCCCACATCATAGACTAATATTGTCTATTCTTTATTCTAAAGAGTTATTTATCAGTGTGTACCTACATAAAACAAACTTCCTATTATTCCCTGAAATAATGATTGACAGATATATGGCCTAATTTGATTATTTTGAAGAATCACGATTGAAATTAAAATACCAATTCAAAAAAAGTTGTTTTTGACCTTGGACCAGTAATCCAAACTGGAAAGATTTTGTTGTTATGCAAATAAAAGAAAGATGTACAAAAAAAAATAATAATAAAATATGCCCCTTCAAACATATTAGAAATGTTAACAACGAAAACCAGTTAAGCAAATCGGCGGGCAATACATTCTTTTAAATTGTTTCATTCGAAAATATTATTTTGAACATTATAACTATTTAATTTTTGATTTTATATTTTATTTGGAAGATACTTGGAAAAAATTATATTATGACCGGTTTAATTTTGCCTTTTGATAACAATATTTTTATATCCCACACGACTGAGAGTTAATTATAAATTTCTTTTGGTCAAAAAGTTTTTAACACCTCGATATATTTGGTCTATACCCAGTTAGCTATGTGGATTCTTCCATCCGTCCGTCTATCCGTAGTAATTGTTCTGAGCTCGTTTCAGGGGAAGGTTAAAAAGCACTTAGACACATACCTAATATTTCCCCAAGCAGGAAATTCAAATCTATTTGTCAACTTCGTGAAAACTAGTGTACGATCAACTCCGCTCAAAAATGTTTAGGAAATTTCGTAATATTTTACTTTTGACCAACTTCTTGGAAATAGTTTTTTATTTAGTTTTCCATTTATAATTTTGAAGATAATTCTTACTATTAGTATTATTATACCCTACATGTATTGGGGGTATTATAAGTTTGATTAGGCCAAAAATTATGTAACACCTCGAAATATGGAGGTAGGATTAAGGTCAGAATAATTATGAACCAATCGACGTGGAAATTTACATTAAGTTAGAGTTTAGGAGTGGGCAGAAGCCTGCTAATTTGGTAGGCCATGGGACAATATTTAGCGGGTAAAATATACCCTAAACTTTATGTAAGGAAATTAGAAAATTTCCACTAAACCGCGAATATTTTTAATCCCAGCCAAATCACAAATACATTAAAAGGTCACTTCTTGTCTGCTAGCCAAGGAATCGGATATATAGAAAAATAGGTACAATATATATGTAAAAGAATAGATCATAATTATTCTGCTTATAAGTTAAGAACCGCTGGGCCGACTTTCAAGATTCCCATCAATTTGGAATGGTCTCTTGCCAGAAACGGATAAAGTCTAATTTTTTAAATTTTTGTCATATTTTTATCGCTATTTTTTTAATTTTAATTAAATTTTTGAATTTTTAAAATTTCTTGATTTTTTTTTTAATTTATACACAACATTTTTTAATTTATACCGCAACATTACGTTTTGAGGGTATTATATGCATGTCACAGTTATCGTCCGATCCTCACGAAATTTTGCATGAGAGTAGAGTTAGGGTCAGAATTAAAGCCTATTTTTCTTAAGATGTACATTTATGGATTCAGATGGACTAAAACATTTAATTCTTTCTAATTTTCTAGCCGCTCTATAGACCACAACTGAAAACTAATCGACACGGAATTTCACATCAGGAGAGACACAAGAACAGGGGCATTATTTTTGACATTATTTCAAAAACGAAATCTTCCAAAATGGATTTCGACATAAGGGGACTTCGAACAAATTGTAGTGTTGTAGGGTATCACATGGTCGGCCCGCTACAAATTTCATCTCCACTCACCCTCATCCAAATGAACTTCAATGTAATTCGGCAGTGCACCGATTAGAATACAACCGAATGTCAACACCGATATCCATTCGTTATTCATTGAATAAAAGATGACACAATCGCCCTTCTTGATGCCCAAACGTTGTAGATTCAAGGCAATCAGAATCGATTCTTCGTAGACATCTTTGGCCGTTTTTATAACATTTGTATCGTAGAAATGATCAATAACTTTATTCGCATCAATTGTACGCATCGTTTGCAGAAACTTTTCTCCCATGGACAATTTTGTGACATCTCCATATGGATAGTTAACCGATTTCCATATTTTTGTCTTGGGATCTTGAACAATTTTCAAATATTCTTCAGGCATTTTTTTGCACTGTTCTTTTTTTTTTTTTTCTTTTTTTTTTCACAAATGTTTTTTTATTGCGTCTTCTATTATTGTCACCTAACGTTTGATTGACCGAACGTCTTGTTCCGCTTTGTCTGAAACTACTATTGTCACTACTGTCGAGGGCCGGTCTGTTCGTTGGTTTTAAGCGGCGAGAAGCAAGTCATGTAATAGCTTTGATTTTTAGTGAGCGAAAGAGATATCACAAAAAATGGAAATATTATTCCACTGGTGATCGTATCGCTGCCGGCAAACAACAACAGAATTGCTGTAGGTCTTAGAAAGTATTCTAAACACGAGTATGTTTATTAGAACATATAGAAATTATCAACAAAGATAACGATTGGTTGACAGGGTGTTCAGTTTTCGATTCATAGATAATTTGTTAATTTAATGGGCTTGAGTACCCATTAGAAATCTTTCAGATTTAAAATTATGATAGTGAATAAAAAACACTTAATTTAATTTTCGTCATTCCAAAGTGTGTGGAGCCTATTTCGTTGACAGTAGTTAAATTTATTTGTTCAGATTTGGTTAGATTTTAAGTTCTCTCTTTATCAGACCACACTGTTAGAGATGTCAACAACTAAATAGGATTTGAGTAATTTTTATATGGACATTGGGATGGCCAGTAAATATTGTGAATATAAGGTTTTGAAATATTTGCTAAGGGTCGTTAATAATTAAACTGTGTGACAATATATATTTTTCAATAATTACAAGATTGGAACGGTGGATTATGAAAGTAGAGCTGAAAATAGAAGACACTTGAATCAATGTTTTGAAAGTTTCTTATCATAAAGTAAAATAAATATAGAAGTTCCCCCGCTTCCATATTTATTGAAATTTTCGCAATAGTAGTGTCGGGAGGGGCCGACTATATAATACCCTTATGGTCGGGACCGCCCGACTTTTGACTTTTCCTTACTTTTCTTTTGATAAATTCTTACCTATTTTAGGGCAGATACCAGAAGAAGTGAGCCTGTATGCATATGTATTAAAGCTTCCGTAAAAAAATAAATTATTTGAAGTAGAGAATTTTCCAGAAAAAGAGGTGAAAAAGATGAAAAAAAGAGGAAAAAATATGGAATTCAAGCGTGATAGTGTGATTTCTTTATATTTGGCTGAAAAACCACAAGTGGCTATCGTTAGAGCAATCCAGAATTTAAATGTGAATAAATCTTTTATGTTTCGTACCATCACTTGTTACCGTGTTACTGGTAGCGTAGCACGACGTCAAGGAAGTGGACGGAAGAAAATAGCAACATCAGCAGAAATGGTTCGAAAAGTAAAGAAGCGATTTGATCGAAACCCACGTCGCAGTGGTCGAAGAATTGCTCGTGAGCTGAACATATCGCAATATTCCATTCGGTAAATATTGAAAATGAGCTCGGGGTAAAGCCATTGAAATTCCAAAAAGTGCAAGAACCTACACCGCAATATAGAGAGAGAAAGAGACTCAAAAGAGCTAAAGAGTTGCTTCGCTTGGTCGAAAGTTGTGAACTGCTGATTTTTTTTTCCGAAGAGAAAACATTCGTTGTCCAGCAGTTTGTAAACAAGCAGAATGATCGTGGTTACTTGCCAAAGAGGTCAGCTGAAAATGAGCATCTTCGGTTGGCCACCAGAACTCAAGCGCCGGCCATAGTGATGGTGTGGGCCGCCATAACAGCCGATGATCGCTCTCCGCTCGTATTAATCGACCGTGGCATCATAATTAATCCCGAATATTATCGCGAAAATATTATGGAGGGTGTATTAAAGCCTTGGGCACGCAAACATTTTGGCCGCAGACCTTGGACATTCCAACAACATCATAACACTCAGCACGCACCACCCAAGAATGGTTACAAAATGAGGATCTTCGCTTCATTTCGAGTGCACAATGGCCACCAAAATCTCCGGATACAAATCTGTTGGACTATTGGGTCTGGAGTATTTTGGAAAGCAAGGTTGGCACTAAAAAATACCAAAGTGTCGATCAACCCAAGCTAGCGTTTCGCCGGGAATGCCCCAAAATATCGCAGATCAACATTCGGGCAGCATGCGACGGTTTCATTGGTCGTTTGAAGACCATAATTCGTGCCAAAGTGGCCAATTCGATCAAATCTAAACTTATTCTATAATTGGATACTATTTCCGACATGTTTTGCTTTCACTCAATTTAAATGACCAGAATTTTGGCACATTTTCAGTCCAGAAGCAAGTACATCAAATGTGGTTAAAATCCGTTCAGATGTAGCTATAGCTCCCATATATATGTTTCATCCGGTTTGGTCTTTTAGTTCCTCACATTTGTGATATCCACTCTACAAGAAGGATATTTAGTACCAGAAATCAAATACCGCTCAAAAATACCTCTGTCAATTTTTATCAGAATCGGTTCAGATTTGGCTATTGCTCCCATATATATCTTCAAACGAGTTCGGGTTAAATGTGCACCAATTGTGCCAATATCAGTTAAAATTACCTGAATCTCGACACATCCGACTGAATTCAATCTAGAAGTAAGTACATCAAATTTGGTGAAAATGGATTCAGAATAGGATATGCCTTCCATATATTAGCTCCCTCTGAGACCAAATTATAACTGCTCTAAAGCTAAAGGTTGATAGATGGTATGATCTACTCCAAATAAACTTCCACTATAAATTCTTTTGTTACGGGAGCTCTACTAAATATGCATAGGGGTGTAGCGAATTATATAGTCGGTCCCGTCCGACTTTTCCGTTTTTTTTTTAGCGTGGAGGTTCTTACCAGCGCCCTTCGATTTTGCAGTCGGACGTGCTCATAAGTTACTTAAGTTTGTAAATTTAATAGAATTAACTCATTGACCTGCGTGCTTAAAAAATTCTTACACATATTTTTAAAAATATTTAACTTTTTGGAATTATTCAAAATAGATGGTATGGCGAAATATGATCTCTTAGAGCAATAATTATGACCCAAATTAATTTAATTCTTTTCTCATTTATATTTTTGCATTATATATTTTATTCTTTATTTTCAAATTTGTCATATGTTACTGTGGCTCCTTTGAGTTTACATTATTCCCAATACACAATGGTATCTAATCTGCAGATGCTCAACTGATTTAAGCCTTTTATAGCCATGATCAAACATCTGCTAGCCTGCCAAATTTTATCCAGTTCATACTGGATCGAAAAACTTTTCCAAACTTTATTTGTTTAACATTTACTCGAGTCATTTGAGTAGCGCGATGTTATAAACAGATTGTATTCTGGTGACGCTGATGTCTTAAACATGACTTGCAGTTTATTACTAAGTATTTTCCTACTTATCGCTAAAATGAAATTATAGAACAAACTACGGCATTAAAAAATGATACAGATTTTTTGCGATAATCTAATATATATGACACCAAAGTGAAAGTTTTACATTATTTGTGGGAATTATGAAAAATTGTCTCAAAAGTCTTTATTTTTAACAAAAATCTGTAACTAACAGACATGCACCCTTCAGCAACTACTCAATTTTAAAAAAATAAAATAACAATCTGATTGTTTCACGCTCTCTTAGAATGTAATCTTTCGATAATTGGAATTATTCTTAAATTCTTATCACAATCAAAAAAAGGGGGAGGGAAATGAAACGCCAGTTTTATTGTTGTTTCAGCATTTGTTACAAATTGTTTTGACTTTACTTTAAAGATAAGATTTCTTAGGTCGTAAAATGTTGAATATTTCACTTACGGTTAGTAAACATTTAAATGATAAGATTTGACTTACACAAAAATACAAAATAAATAAACTAATCAACTCCAAGGCCGAGACACACATACCCCCTCTAGAGAGGAACATACCTTCAATTTTTTTATGGTATCTTACATTTAATAAAAAGTCTAATGAGACCAAAGAAATTCAATTTTAAAGAAAATTGGGCGTACTGCTACTCCCACATATTTGTATTTTGCCGAGTTTAGCCTAACTTATTATCAGCATTTATAGACCTAATTTTAAAATCATTTTTATACCCTACACCACAAGGTGGTCAGGGTATTATGTCTTTGTACAATTGTTTGTAACAGGCAAAAGGAAACGAGATAGACCCATAGTTCCTTTTGATGATCTGCATAGAATCACGTTCTGAGTCGATTTATGCATGTCCGTCCGTCCGTCGGTCCATGAATTTTGTGAACATTTTTTCGCATTTATTACCCGAACCAGATGAAATTTTGCACAAATCATTTGTCCCCATATATACTGTTCATCCGATTTGTTATTTTTGTCCTCCGCAGCCGTAATATGCACTCTGTAACCACAATATTTGGGGAAATATATTAAATACAGCTCAGAAATACGTCTGCTAAATTTCATCGAGATCGGTTAAGATTTGGATATAGCTCCCATATATAACTTCGTCCGATTTACCTATTATTGTACACCAAACGTCTAATATTTGTACAAATGGAATGGAATTTGGCACTTACGACCGAATTGCGTCTAGAAGCTAATATGTCAACTTTGGTGTAGATCGGTTCAGATATAGCTATAGCTCCCATATATACTGTTCATCCGATTTGTTATATTTGTTACCCACAGCCGTAATATGCACTCCGTAACAACGATATTCAGGGAAACATATCAAATACAGCTCAGAAATATCTTTGTCAAACTTTATTGAGATCGGTTCCGATTTTGATATAGCTCCCACATATATCTTTATCCGATTTAAAATTAATTGTGCACCAAATGGGCAATACAAGTCCGAATTTAAAAGATACTAATGCTTCGGCATATTTAGTCCTTAGAACTTTAAATTATAATTATAATCATAGCGTGTATTGTTATGCAGAGCTCTACTAAATTAGCAAAGTGGTGTCGGGCGGGCCGACTTTATGACTTTCTTTACTTGTTTCAGTTTGGTATAGGCCGGCACAAACACATTTATATATTAAATTATTATTTCAATGTTTATGTGACTTATTATTATCATTTTTATACCCTCAACCATAGTATGGAGGTTATATTAAGTTTGTCATTCCGTAGTAGATCAATACAATTTTACTCAAATGTATATTATGTCTGCAGAACTTTGGGCCATGGAGGTCCACGTTTTAGTATAGCCCCCATATAACGATACCTCCCGATATTCGGTATTTTGATGATTTTAGCGACATTATTCACCGTAATTGTTTCGAATTTGGCATTTAAAGTTCGTAATAAACACTGCAGCCTATTACAGAAAATTTTTTT